AACACAACCATTCAATGAAATTCCACTAGGTTTACAAAAGTAGACAAGTTGTGGACTTTGCATACACAAATCTAAAGATGTATAGTGATACGGATGAAATATTACATTATAAGTCTCTAATTTATGGACTTTGTTATAATGTAGTCCTTTTGTTGGAATTTTTAGTGACATTAGTTTTGTAGAGTAATTGGTCCTTAAACAACAATTTTATCTATTTGGCCATCGACAACGCATTTTGGAGAATGAAATTCTCAAACACTTAGGGGTATATTCAATCGGGACTTTTAAAGACTTTGATGGACTTTTTTTAAGTGATGACTTTTGTAGATTTTGTGGATCTTTTAACGATTTGTATGGAATTAGTGGAAGTCTTTCGTAGGCTTCTATGGATTTTCATTTTTAAAATTTTATAAACTTTTGTAAAATTCAAAAGATTTTTGAAAACTTTCATTTGAAATACAATTTACATGAATCTGGTATGAAATTCTCACATAAGAAGTGTTAGTTCTCATAATTCTCATTTTCCTTCTCCTTCTTCTTCCCATATAATAAAAAAAAAATTTGAAAAAATAAAAATTTAAGACCTTAATTAAATAATTAATAATCAAAACTATACATATATGTAGTTTTTTAATATAAAATTTTATAATTTAATAAAAAATAATATTTTTCACAAAAAATGAATGAAAAAAGAAAAAAATGTTATAAGAATCCAATTTAATTTTTTAATAGAAAATAGCGACAAATAATAAGAGAGAGAGAGAAAAATAAATGGAATATAATAAATAAAAAAAATAAATTTTAACATGTCTATAGATTCCCCTACCATGCTAATCCAGCAAAATTCAATAATTTAATACAATTTCAAAGACTCTAGTGGATAGAAATCATTCAATGAAGCCACATAATTAAAAGATTAGTAATGTTACTGATAACAAAAACAAATTGTGGAATAATCTGCAACAAGTCCATAGGTTCTCATTTATTACCTTGGCATATATGCATTCCCGAACTTTCAATTTCAATGCAAGTAAGTCCCCACATGATGAAATTCATTTGTTTGGCAAAGTGCCTTGTACAAGAGATTTTGTTTAACAACTTCGGTCAGTCCATCAATAAGCCTCTTCAAATTATAAAATAAGGAAAAGAAAAACAAAAGAATGAAAAAAATGAGAAAAAAACCATTGTATCAATTGAAGTTTGACTCTAAACAACACCTCATCATCATCTTATACCCCGTGTCTGCTACTTTCGTTATCTTTGTTAACCTCCTTCCATATTCCTTTACTGCCACCAGACAAAGCCAAAACCCTTTATTATCAAATTCTACCAATTTCACATATCACACATCCATACAACGGCCATTAAAACGAACTTGTATGGCGACAATGGCAACCTACACGAACCCTTTAAAACCTTGATTTAAAAAAAATAAAAAAAATTGCCGAGAATGTGTTATATCTAAATTTCATATCTAGATTTTACTATTTTAGACATATTCATTTATCTTAAATTGATTTTGTTTATGAATTCTATTGCAAGTGTAATATGTTGCGAAAAGTTATAAGACTGCAAAAGTTAATGAGAAGATGGAGGGTCGTTGACTAGGGGATATGGACCAATTATGGTGAGCTGGAAATCAAATCTATCTATTCATTTAAATAAAAGTTGGGTTAGCGAGGCTGCGGCCAACATTCTATTCCTTTCTTTTCCTTTTTGGTCTTTTATATTTCATTTGATTTCGAAGGAAGACAAGAAGTTATAAAAATACACTTGAAAAAAATTGTTAAATGTAATGCACGTGCCGCTTTAATGGAAAAATAGAAAGAATCCATCCAATCAAGATTGTTTGCACTATTTTTAAAAGTTTGGGGATACGTATGCTATGTACAATTGAATGTGGACTAAAATATTTTATATCTTAAAGTTTGGGGACTTGGACTACAATATTTTAATTGCAAAACGACGCACTTGTAGTTCAGTCACTCTGTGAGGCAGGCAAAACAACAGTTTCACACGCACAATCTTTTCGATAAACAAGAAAAGCACAACTCTCTCTCTCTCCTCCTTTTTCTCTCGCTCTTTCTCATCCTTCTAACCCTTGGAATCGACATTCAGAAAGAAAAAAGATGGTGGATTTTGCACGGGTACAGAAGGAGTTGCACGAATGCAACCGGGATTTTGAGGTTTCAGGCATAAAAGTTATGCCGAAGAGCGATGCTAATTTGGCCCACTTGCTTGGTACAATCCCTGGTCCTCTTGGTACTCCTTATGAAGGTGGCTCTTTCAAAATCGACATCAATTTGCCCGGTACAGTTTATTTTACGCCATAATTGATCTGTTTGTGTTTTAATATTTCTATTGGTGGGCTTTTAATGTTATGTTGTTTTTGACTTTCTCGAAGAATTAATTAATTTGGGTCTCGGTTTTAAGCGAATTTTGTTTTCTTTGCAGATTATACTTAGTGGGTTCTGCCTCATTTCTCGTTAGGGTTCTTGAATTTTAACGACATTTATGTTAATAAGTCCTCCGTGTTTGTTCCAATATGTCTATTGGTGGGCTTTAAATGTTATTTTGTATTTTTTTCCCCCTTTTTCAAAGAACTAATTTTTGTGGGTTATGGGTTTAAAGCGAATTTTGTTTATTTCATTTCTTATTAGGGTTTTTAAATCTGAGTAATTTCTGATACGGGGAAGTACTTATTTTCTGTTTGGTTGTAAGCTGGACTTTAATGTGAATAATAGATACTTTGTATTTCAATAATTTTATAGTTCGTTGTTTTTTGACTTTTGTGGACCTCAAAGGCCTCTAGACCCAATTTGGCCTTTTTACACTTGCTCTAAGAATTTAATTCACAGCTCTCTGGAAAATTATATAGCAGAGCACTACAGGAATAGTATATCTTTGCACCAAATTTCTGACAAAGATTGGCCACATGGATTTCGAAATTATATATTTCTTTGCCCTCTGTTTTGTTGTTATTGCTAAAATTTTCATTTTCAATTCATCAGAAAATGTACTTCATTTTAGAATGTATACACCTCTTGCCTCGCACTTTCCAATCATTGCATAACACGGGATGACAATTTTAAATAAAACATACCATTACTAGAATGTCATTGCAGTTACACTGCATAAAAAAGGTTTGTTTGTTAAATTCTTTCTATGTAGTATATTTTGAAGACTTGAAGTGGGTACATTCAAAGAGATTAGGGAAGACTCAATCTTATAACATTGGGTATTGGTTAGGCACAAAAGATATAAGAAACTTAAACAGAGAATTTGAGGGCCACTTGATTCAAGAACCATCACAGTAAGATGAAAATTGGGGAGATTTTAGAAAAGAGATAATGTTTTTACCCATCCTTGTTCTCATGCTTTTTCTAAATTTATTTTGTTTTCTTAATACCGCCAAAGAAATTTTAAAGCAAAAATTCGAAGAGCAATTAACCAAAATTTTGCATGCTTGCTTCTAGTTTAAGATGTGGTAATTTTATCCTCCAGTTGAAAGTGAGATGTTTGCATGGCTGCATCCGCACCCAACTTTATAGTGTAAGAGAGATGCAATTGATAATTTGTTAATACTTTATTTTCTTCATTTTGATCTCCCAAAGGGACTTTGGCCTTGTTTGAGCCCCATTTTACCTCATTAAAATAAAAAATATGACAGTTATTCATCACATCAAGTCACCATATTTGACTTTTATCTCTTGTGTGGACCCATAACGGCTATATTTTTCATTCTCATTTTTTCAATAATGTGGTTCAAACAGGGGCTAAATTTTTTTGGTTTGGTTTATGCATATGTGAATAATACCATCTATTTGTTATTTTGAATGTAAGTTTTGTATATCCTTTTTCAATTGATCTTTTCTTTTCAGATGGTTACCCTTTTGAGCCTCCCAAGATGCAGTTTGCCACTAAAGTATGGTATGGGAAGCATGTCGTTCTGTACTCTCTCTTCTTTTATTGTGGATGATTCACGTAGTAGTAAGATGATTTGATCAATGTTCTGCATGCAGTTGGTTGATGGTAACAAAGTCTCCAAACTTTGGCGGACCATTTAATCTTGTTTGACCAGCAAATTTTAGGGTGCTTAGAAGTCCTTACTAAAAAAAGAAAAAAAAAACAGAAATTTAATGTGCATGTAGGATACAGCTATGCTTACTCTGACGCTGTCTTCACACGATGTTCTTTTGGTTAAAGATTCATGCATAGATGAATAAAACCAATTGTTGACTTTAGTTGAACATCGATAATCAAGGAGAAATATAAATTGTTGTGCCTCAGGAAATGTAATTTTTGTAACGTGTTCTTTTCTCCCCGTTGCTCGATAGTACTAGAAGCTTTTCCAGTTAGGCTCCATAAATTACTATTACACTAAGTATAATGTGTTTATTACATACCGAAGGCATCCTAATATAAGCAGTCAAAGTGGAGCAATATGCCTGGATATCTTGAAAGACCAGTGGAGCCCAGCACTTACTTTGAAGACGGCACTCCTTTCTGTACAAGCATTACTCTCTGCTCCAGAACCTGATGACCCCCAAGATGCTGTTGTAGCACAACAGGTCCCGTTCCCTTCATTCTCTGTGTTTTATGTGCTACCGCCTACCCCCCCACCCCTCCACAACCCAGTTGCTGATTAGTCTTGGTTTTTGTACATTCCAGTATCTTAGGGACTACCCAACATTTATGGGCACAGCTCGCTATTGGACGGAAGCATTTGCCATGACCTCGTCTCTTGGCGTTGAGGACAAGGTTGGAGGAATTTTGGCTTCCCTGCATGTTTACTAATGTCCTTCACTTCCTTTTCTATATCATCCTGAATTTTGTTCCTGAATGCAAGGCACTTTAACAAAATATCGGACAGAAAATGATGGTTTGAAAAATTTGTCTACTTTTCAAAATCATTAGATCCAGAGGACAATGTTTTGAAAACACGACCACCACCCGGCATTGACCTGGGAAAAAAAGGGTCAAGCGGTTGAATTGAGGTCAAACCAGTTGCTAAGCACCGATGAGTCGATGACATGGCATATCAATCCATTGGTGGACTTGTTTATGATGGGTCTCAATATTTAAATTAAATTTGTTATCAATCAGTCGATTGATGCATCATGCTATCAGTGACTAGTAAATCATTTCATGCACGCACAATAAAAATTTTACAAAAAATGTTAAATTTTCAAATTAATTGATGTACAGTTAAAATCACTGTTTATAGTTTTAATTTGACTCTATTTATTTCGTCATTTCCACTCTCAATAAACTCTCAATATTTAAATTAAATTTGTTATCAATCAGTAGATTGATGCATCATGCTATCGGTGACTAGTAAATCATTTCATGTATGAATGCATGCATGCACAATAAAATTTTTACAAAAAATGTTGAATTTTCAAATTAATTGATGTACATTTAAAAGCACTGTTTAGAGTTTTAATTTGATTCCATTTATTTCGTCATTTCCACACTCAATAAACTCCACATTTGCATACAAATGAAATCGTTGTTCCAGTTTTCATAACATCGGCATTGCCAGTGACTCGACATTTTGTAATATGCAAAACGTTTCTAGTCACACATGTTGCAATTACTTATTTATTTCCACAGGTACTAAAGCTAGTGGAAATGGGCTTCCCTGATGCCTTGGTTAGGAGTACTCTGGCTAGTGTTGATGGCGATGAAAACATGGCTCTTGAAAAGCTTTGCTCTGGCTAGCACTCACCTCGACCCCGAGTAATTAATTGCTTTTGAAATTATTGTTGCATCAAAAAGGCTAAACGGTATAAAATAATATTTTCTCTTCAATCAATACTCGAGTTTTCCTTGATAGTTTTTTCTTATCTTTGTTGCATGCGCTTTTCACCATGGTGAATATCTCTTGGTGTCATTCGATTATCACCACTGTTGGATTAGATTTTCTACACCTCGGTTGTTCAGCTCGTATTAGCGAAGTGAGATGTGATTCCAATGCTCATGTACAGTTATGCCCTTTTTTGGCTCTCAGTTTTTTCAAACTCATTTTCAACCATCCATTTTGTGGGATACATAACATTTATTAACTTTTAAATCATATTTTATCAATGTTTTATCAAAAAAAAAAAATTTCTAGCAAAATCAACAGGGGCTAAGATATGAATTGCCAAGGTGAAAATTTTGGTGGGATAACATCTCATTTCGGATTTTGGTATTTCTATTGCATGTTTGAAGTCTATCCTCGTATCTATGTCCGACTTACATTTTTAGTGTTTCGTTGGTAAGTTTTTCTTGTCACTAAGTGAGAATCGTTTACTCTTATTGACTAAATGGATGATAAAAAAGTGTCAGTGATATTAGTGATGTTAGGCATTCTTTCAGACATAAATTCTACCAATTTTAAAAACAGAGAGATGTTTTTACTTATGGAAAAGGAAAATATATAAACCTAAAATTCTATCTTATTAGGACAATAATTCTCCGTAATTTATGAAGAACAAGTTACGTTGTTACTTTCTTGAATTAAGGTTTTTTAATTTCGAATATGTGCTCAAAGTAAACTGGTTTACTGCAATCATCAAACTTAGGTTACTTTGTCGATTTACGAGGAAGCGCACCACTGTAAACCTCAGTCTTTCTAATACTTTGAGACGCAATCAAATTCTAGTGTCTTTGATGCTGCGGTTGTTAAGAAGATGGTTGTGGCCATGGCGGTTGCACAACCAACAAAGTTAGCATACAAACTCCGAAAGAGTTTTATCTAACTGAGTTTGCCATCTCGTGAGGAGGAAGAAGATAGAATTAAAGAATGAATCAATTTTATTTTTTCATATATGTGCCTTGTGCAATAAGAAAAAAAATATTTGGTTAATTCTAATCGCAAATTTGCAATCATTGTACTTCGACCGAACTGTACTTCAGTTTTGTCAATAAAATCATTATACTTTAATTAGTTACATAGAAGGTCATTTTGTTCCATTTATTAACAGCATTCGATGACGTGATAGTTAAATGCAGACTACCATCTTACGTGAACGTCAAGACGTTTTCAACTCAACAATTTATGTCCAAGTATTTCTTCTCTCCCATCATTTTTTTTTCCTTTTTTCTTTTGGGGTGGGTTTGGAGGATTTTGTATTTAGGTCCTTAGAGTACTTAGTTAGGTCCCTCAGTCGAAATTTTCCCTAAATTGAATTCAGAATTAGGGATGACAATTCGAACTGTGAAAATAAAAAATTGCGGTTAACCGAATCGAATGGGGCGAAAAAAATCGAACCAATGATGCAATGTGGCGAAAACGGTATTTGATTTTAATAAATCGGTACGGGCAGGGCGGGTACGGTATTTACACCATCGCCCCAAACTAAATCGATTAACTATTAGAAAAATAATAATAAATTAATAATAATTGGGCTTTCCATATTTTTTTGATTTTTTCTATGTTAATTACTTAATTTCTTTGGCCCAAAATTTCTAACCCATTAACAAATTAAATTTAAACCCAAGTACCCAACCCTAAACCCTAACAGTCTAACACAAAGGCACAAATGTTTTATTGGAAAATTGGAATCTCAGCTCCTGCCTTCTAGATCTGTCAAGTGCTGATTGTCGTCTCATCCGCCTCCGCCCGTTTGCATTATTTTCTTCTTCTTCGACCTTTAGGCTTCTGCCACTGGTGAGCTTCTCATCTTCTCTTTTCATAATTTGTATTTGTCTATTTGAATTTGTTGTGAATTTCGCACAAGATTTGGCCAAAGTACATCCAGAATTTTCAATTTTTTACAATTGGTGGTGGGCTGCCTCTTTCATGACTTTTGGCCTAAATAACACATAAACAAGAAATTGAATTCTTTAATTACAGAAACCAAAGTTTGGTAACGAGGATGTTGAGGAAAAGGTACATTTTTTTTGTTTAAATTTTCAGTTAAGAACATTATGAATTATTAATTTATTACTCTACTTCCATTTCTTATATACTATATAGGAATCAACTTTGAGTTTTGACGTATGCTAGTAAGAGTTGTGGGGAAGAATGTAGATTGAATATGAATTGAGGTTGGAGCTTTTTGAGTTATTGAATATTGTTTGTTAAATTTGGATTTTGTATTTGAGAATTGGGATTTTTTTGCATTTTCATTTGAGATGTTGTTTGCTACATTGACTTAGTATCATGTTTTTGTTTTCATTGACTTTTTTCTTTTTATTCGACGGATGGACCAATTAAAAATAATTTATTTTCGTGGTTATTAACGATCCGAATCGAGATGCGAATCGAACCGACTTTCGTAGTTATGGTGTGATTATGGTATAGCCAAAAAATTGGTGGTTCGGTGATAGTTTTGGCCGAACCGAACCGTTGCGATCACAATTCAGAATTTGAATAGTTGGTATCAATTCCTCTTTCCAAGTGAACCAAGTTAGGGTCACATTCAACCATATTAGAACGGTTTCATTTTTTTAAATAGACTTTGATAACATAAAGCACAATAAACTACGTACTCATATTTCAATATTATTGTGTAAAATATTTTTATTTTCAATTTTTTTGGTGTTTTCACCTCTATTTTCATATTTTATTGCGAAAAAAATATATAATGATAAATATGCCCTCCTATTTAAATAAAAAAAAAATCAAAGAACAAATTGTAATTATACTCCCAAACCTTTTAAAAAACTATAAATGAGTCCAAATAAATTATTAAAAGGATAATTAATTCAAAACGTCCATACCTTTAAATACTATCGAACAAAACGTCTATACCTTTCATTTTTTTGACATTTTCATCATCATTTCATTGTGTAAATCATCATTTTCATCAATTTTCTCAATTAAAAGTTGTAAAATGACAAATATTCTCTCCTATTTAAATAAAATAAACATAAAGTACAAATTACAACTATACTCCCAAATTTTTTCAAAAAAGTATAAGTAAATAATTAAAAAAGAAAGTGATTTTTAAAACTTTTCGTTTTTAATTATTGATTTGTACTTTTTTGAAAAATTTAGGATTATAGTTACACTTTATTCTTTATTCTTTATTTTCTTTATTTTTATTTTATTTAAATATGAGGGTGTATTTGTTATTTTGCAACTTTTAATAGAGAAAATGGATGAAAATGATATTTTTGCAATGAAATGTGAAAGTAAGGGTGAAAATGTCAAAAAAAATGAAAGGTATAGACATTTTACATAATAATATTGAAAGATAGAGACATTTTATTCTAATTACCCTTTTAATAATTTATTTGAACTCATTTGCAATTTTTAAAAATGTTTGGATGTATACTTGCAATTTGTTCTCTAATTTTTCTTTTTTCTTTTTTTGTTTTATTTAAATAGGATGACATATTTGTCATTTTACATTTTTATTGAGAAATTAGATAAAAAGGACCTTTGCTACAATAGGGATGAAAATGTTAAAAAAATGAAAGATAATAACGTTTTGCACAATGAAATTGAAAGGTAAGAACGTTTTGTACTAATTACCCCTATCAACTATTTCAAGTGTAGAAGAGCAATTACTAAATATGCGTACTTATTAGGAGAAAATTTAAGTATTTGATTGAGCTAATTAATGTTATAATGAAGGATTGATTACTGGGTCACAAATGTAGATATGAAATTCCAAATTCCAGGTCAGCTTCAGGGTCCACACTTTCATGAATGGATTAGGACCAGTCTAGATATAGAATTTTTTTGTACAGACCTCCTACAGATAACACACATTGATGGGGTGGGTGGTTTATTTTTTGAAATAAAATATTCAAATGGGGCTCACCTCATGTGAGATTTCTGTGAAGCTTTTGGCAATGATTTCTCTG